CTATGTGAATGGATGCCGATAGCATATCCAATACCGACTCATATCACATTTGTAGCCCCGTTTACTAATGCAAATGCATCCGCGGACCCAAACCTGTCACAGACACCGATATGGTATTGATGCTGACATGACATTGACGCCGACATTCTGCAGACGCTGAGACCATATTAGAATCCCCAACATGCTACTAACACATTATCGTGATTGGCTATTATATTTGTAGTGTACTTGTGAATGCCATAGTGACCACCGACACCGACAGCATAGCCCACTGCTCAGAGCCTTAACATTACTTCATTACTATTATTGTAGTAAATTGTACTTATCATGTAGCATCCATGGACGCGACCACTCCAGCTGTCCGCGGATGTCCGCTGGACTGAGCATGTCGGCGCAATTGGCCATCTGTGCTACCAAGCATCTCCATCGGCATCCCCTGCAACATGTGACAAATCAGCCGCTGATCAGAATTCTTGCATGTACAGCTCCCAAAGTCCCCCCGAGTCACTCCTCAAGGATTCAAAGTGTCGTTTCATTCTGTTCCTTATTCAATACCACGAGGTTTGCTTTGTGTCATATACTGATTGTTATTGCGAGCCCTGATTGGCAGTGTAGATCTGGCAGATGTACAAGAAGGCTTCGGCTTCATTCTGGACTGCTGGCCACACCAACCTCACCTCCTCAGAGCGCACCTGCGCCCAGCACGAATTTGTGCCAGCAAAATTGCACACGTCACAAGTGTGGGAAGTGTGCGCCTCATGTTCTACGAGTTCCTGCTCTTGCAGGGCCTCAAGCTGCACGGGGACGAGCCGTGGCGGCATGCAGTCGCGCTGCATGAAGTGTTGTCCTCATCCCCCATGGTGTTGCGTGCAGACTCTTGTGCAGACAATATGCGGACACGATTTGGACTTTGCAACAAAAACCAGTGCTCAGCCCCTTTGCTTGCTCCACACTTGTTCACGTGGTGTGGAGCACATCTGATGTTGAACTTGGTGAGTTTTTCTTCCTGCACTCTGTTGTCTTCCACCACGTCATCATGTCTCAGCGAGCCTCCCTTGCTTGCTGTTCCTTCTTGTCCTCATTCTCCATCTCTTCCTCCAGTCATGGGCCTTCTGGACGGTATCAGGTCACAGGCGGCCAACATAAATAAAACGCCAGCGAGGCCGCCTCCCGGTAGAGGCACTCCCACTCGTGCCAATGCAGGCATTGGCATCAACTAGAACCTCCATAATACCCCTAGACCTTCAAGTCCTCGGCGCACTCCTGGGTCGCTGTTCAGTGTGGCAGCTGCCGCAGTAGCTGTCACCCCCGGTAAGTCAGAAACATTCACTTTGACAGGCTCACGCTAATTTTTTTTGGCTTTGTTCACAGGAGGATGACCACTCAAACGTTGTTGCCAAAGTGAGGCAGACCTGTGGATGCCATGCAAAAAGCAAGTCCACATCAGTTATGCTGAACAGATGGCGGCAGAATACAGCCTCGACAGCGACCAGACTGTGGAACTCGTCCAGGTCACCGAGGTATGTTTCCTTTGTTGTTTTTTCCGCAAATATATTACCTAACCATTTCACCAGGCTCCGTCCTTTTACAATGGCTTCATCATCTTTGCGGTGCAGACAAAACGGCAGGAGATTGATTGTACTGTCTGGATGGGGGAGATGTGGCTCCAGTTGGATGACTTCAAGGTGAGTTTTCGCATCACGTCCAATTGATACATCAGCTCATGTAACATCTCAGAGTCATATCCAGGATGCGCTCAATGGGTATCTTCTCGACGGCGACATCTCCGCATACAAAGATGGTCTGACAGACCGGATTGTGGTATGTTATACTTATCTCCTCAGCATCACCCTCTGACACGTACAAAGCGTCATATCCGCACCAAGCCTGCAAGTTACTGCATCCCCAGGCATATCTGGGGCTTTCTAGCCAACCAGAAGTTTCGCTCCCACATCAGCAACATCCTCTCTGGCCTGAGGTCCGATATCAAGACCAAGCTTGGCAGCAAGGAGAACTGGAAGAGTGACCTCTACACTGTCATTCAATCCCTCATCGGCGGCAACAACACTCGCACGCACTCCAAAATCACAATCACCCTGCAGATGTGGGGTCATGTGGCATGGCTTGTAAGGTTTCATATCTATGATCTTGTCTTTGTGTTGCTAATTCTCACTAGTATTACACACTCAAAGAACATGAGAAGTTTGTCAAGAAAGGGCAGAAGAAAGACAGGGATTTCTGGGATGATACTGACGCCGAGCTTCGTGACATCCGGTTCCAGTACTCCATGTACGAGGAGCCAGTAAGGTCACAAAAAATCAGTGTGTAAGTCCTCATCATGATTCTTGTTATTCACTCCTCGTACTGACTTTCACTACATAGTATCTTTACCCTCTGTCTTGAGAAGCACAAGGCTGAGAAGAAGCCTAAGAAGAATGCAAAGCTGGTCCCGGACACCTTCCCCATCTCCTCGTGGCAGCGGCAGCTTCAGGCTGCCATCGAGGAGATGAACGGGTATGATGTCGAGGAGATGGCCATGCTCATGCAAGGCACCACTGTCGATGCTTGTTCTCTCGAAGAGATCGATGCAGACATCGAGGCTGAGTGTGTCGAGCGCACCAAGCGCGCTGCACGTCGTGACCAGGCTGAAGACAAGGCCGAGGACCAGGCTGAGGGTGCGGCCGCTGGTACTTGAGGTGTTCGGGTTTTTGCAGTTCATGTTGTCTCGTTTTCTCTATTCTCGCCATTATACCTGCATGATATTTTTGTATTATACATAGACCTTTGTCAAATAGCTATAGAACTATTTATGTCGTTATGAGCCTTCTTCCCTGTCCGTGTCGACATCCTCAGCAACGAGGATCCAAGGGTGAAACCCAGCTCATGGCAGCTCCCCTTCATCTCCCGCCCAGACCTTGGTCCCTATGCCATGTTGGGACTGAGCCCGGTGTTGTGTCCACCCTTGCCCAGAGGCTGCTCCGACCTGGGCGCGAGGGTCGGAACAGCCTGGGAGGCATTATCCCGTAACGACATAAGTGGCTCCATGTATATTTCACATCAGTGATTCGAGGTTGGAGCAAGGTTGGAGCTGTCCGACCTCTGATCAACCTCGTAGACATAACCTTGATTTGCCCTAGAAACCAACCCCACATGGCAAAATTGGCTTGGGGTCAATCCCACATCCCATGACAAACGGCTGTGTAGTGCGCAGTGGACATTGGTTTGAATGTCCCTGGAACAACTCTTTAATAAAGCTAAGCTATTTGCTTCAGAATAGAAGACAAAATGAGTAACTGACCTCAACATTTTGCTGCCCCTTGGCTTTTAGTATAGCCTCTGCCTGCATGTTGTTAGGCATGTTTGATGCACGCAGAAGTGGAAGCCCACCGAGAGGCAGGAATGGTGATGAGCACAATGGATAAGGTTCAAGAACCGGTTTGTCTGGTTGGCAGTCATACCTGCCTCAAAAGCGAGCTCGGCGATCTTGAACTTGAGTCTAGGCTCAAAGAACGGACGCCAGGGCCGCTTCTTGGGAGCGTGGTTGGGGTCAGGGGCTGGATAGCGCTGGAAGGCATGTGGTGGGAAGATTTCTGGGGTGTGTTCACTGTATGGGTGATATTTGGCTTGGATCCCACCCAGAGAAGGAAGCTGCTCACCCATAGAGGTGCTAGCCAGTGGGGCAGGGGGTTGTTCATCCGCAAGGGCAGGAGGCGGCAGCAGCAGCGGCTTGACAATGGATGCAAAGGGAGAAGGCGTGGGGGACAACTCGAGAGTAGGTGTGAATAAAGTGGGTGCGTAGGGCGGCTTGACAGCAGATGCAAAGCAGTTGGGTGCGGGAGGCAACTCAACAGCAGGTGTGAAGAGAGAAGGTGTATGGGGCGGCTCAGCAGCAGAATGATAGGAAGAGGGTATGGGGGGCAGCTCAACAGCAGGGATAGAGGAAGAGGGTGTGGGAGTTGGGTCAACAACGAGGGCAAAGGAAGACAATGGAGGGTGGGCTGGAATGGGAGCTTCAGGATCTCGGGCGGGCTGGTTGCATGTAGAAACGTAGCTGTCTGTAGTAAGCAGCTGCATTAACATCTTGAGTATGCAAGGCAATACACAATAGAGAATAAGCTTACCTTCATCATTAGATTGATATGCAAAGTCATCCGGCAGCTGGGGAGTCAGATGTCTTGCTATAGGATTGTTATCTTAGCGTAGCAATAAACAAGTATGCTGTCCAACTTACAATGAGGAAAGTCAGACAACCTTGGGAGCTTAGATGACCCCGCAAGAGACGCCATGACCTCTGTTTGGTGACATGATATGTGAGTGCGTGAGCACTGTCAAGGAATAGTAGCAGAGTCCAGGTATGACTCACCTTCCTCCTGTTGCCTCTTTGACTGACACTTGTCGCTCTCCATCTCCTGCTGCCAAGCGTGGTCCTCTTGCTCCCTCACCTTGCACCGCTTGCAAGCTTCAACATGCTTGTTCCACCCATTGGACCAGATGTACAATCTGAAATCCTGACAGAAGTGCATCTTCTTGTGTTTACCATCCTCCAGGCTTTGTTCAAAGAGCGACATGGTGGATATGGGTATAGTGGTGGAGAGGGAATGTGTGAGAGAGAGAGAGAGAGGTTCAGGATGGGTACGGGGTTTGAGGGACAGTTAGGACACACAAAACAATTGATACACGCCTTTGGGTAGAACCAGCGGCAATGCAAGCCAACTACAACTACCCGCAATGGGCTAGGCACCACTGCAATCGAGTACATTCACACGACTATATTCGCAATCGCTTCCAATCCCCGACCCCATTGTAATTGATTGCAAGTCTCGCTGGACCGGGGCAATCACGCCGCAATTAAATTGGAAGATACCTACAAGTCTACATCATTGCAAACTAGGAATCAACTTTGTGACATACTTTCAGCCAATACTCCTACACAGCAGCCGGCTTCTTCCCCACTCTGCCGCAACCAAGCTTCCCGTACCGCAGCAAATGGTTACGGAGATGCAGCATCTCGCTGACCACTCTGTTGTGAGTGAAGCGGTGGGAAGGCGCTCCAGGCGCCCAACGCGTTGAGGGCGCCCAAAACGGCGTTGAGGGCGCTCAAGGCATGCAACCTGACAGCGGCCTAACCGTGGGAACGGCCGCGTATGGCCAGAAGCGGCGTAATGCGCCCAACATGGCCATTGAGGGTGCTTTCCCCTGAACACCGCATGGTGAGGTGCAGGCACCTCCGCAGGTGCCCTTGCCAAAAAGATGCCGCTGTCTTGCTGGGCGGCATAACCTCTTGTCGGAATCACTCTCTCTCAATCTGATATTACACGCAATTCACTATCTTGTAGTTGACTGGAACTATCTACGTGATTTACTGGTACAATAGATACGGCTCAGGTCTAGTATTTTGGTATTGGCAGATCATAATGAACAGTGTCACCTTTCTGACGAAACAAAAATGGGCTCTTGCATTGGCACAGTATTGTGTTCAAGACAAGCTGTTATCACACACATTTTCATCGCAAAAATCTTCACTAAGTATGTGCTACAGATGTTGCGAAGGTTTATAAGACGAAGACTTATCATAAAAACACTACTTTGCTGAAGACTTAGGATACACCGCCCCCATTTGCACCGCAGAACAGATGAAGGAATTGTCCACCATGGAGAAAAGTGCTACACCAGTGCTGAGCAAGGGATGAACAAGGACAACAGGCTTCGCAGACTCACAAGGGTTTAGAGCCGATGCAATAGCTGTTTCAAACCTGTAAGAAACACCATAGAGTGATTGGGTGTTCATTCGAGTATCACCAGGTGCCAAGTATGTCCTTACTCTTTGTCAAGTTGCTATGTCTTCGCGTCAAATTCATATACAAATGGTTCAAAAGGAGTGTCACTCACGCTATGGGCTTCACCTCTACAGAACTGCGCACATTGGTCTTCAAGCGGCAGTGCTTGTCCTGCTATCTTGTCTAAGGTGATACGCGGTTCTATAACTCATAATAAGTAACCTATAGTCAATTTGGAGCCCAACGTAAACATACCGCACATATCTCACTGCTAATTCTTTGTCCTGGACCTGGGAGCGGCGGGGTAAACGGTGGGAGGGGAAAAGGAGGAGGGCGGAGGAAATGCGAGCGAGGTGTAAGTACCAAGCGCTATCTATTAATATAAACCAAAAGAACCAAATACATACCGGCAAGCCCCGTGTATCTAGAACCTTCCATTTGGTGCATCAGATTTATGAAGTGTGCAACACCAACGTGAGAACTAGCGCGTCGAAATAGATGGACGGGTCAGACAGGAGCATTAGGCGTACCAGTCAATACTTTCAACGGCGCGCCAGAATTATGGGCTACCAGATAGGCGCCAGCCGAAGCATCCACCGGTGCACCAAAATTATGCCGCCGGACGGGTGCACCACAGTATTCCGTATTCAGTACTGGTGCATCAAGATTATGCACAACCGTGTGGGCGCACCAGTGGACCAGTAGGTTGCGCCACTGGACGGGTGCACCGGCTTCTCAAACTAGTGGGGTGCACCACTTATTTTGGTGCACCAGTGCGAATTCATGCCTGCGCACTACTCCTTTACATCACACAGCGGCTTGGTGCACCAAATGGTCCCCTTAACTATTCAGGGCATTGCTGATCTCCGGTGCACCTATTTCTCAGTGCTTTGCAGGCAGTGAGTGTGCTGGTGCACACTACCACGCTGTACATGGTGGTGCACTGAACCTGCACTGGGGCCTGGGTTTCTAAGTTCTAACGCTAAATTATTGCGTTCGCATCCAGACAAAAGTTGGGCGCTACATCCGCTGCTTTATTTCTATTGCCAGCTCTGACAGTCGCTCTTTCAAACGAATCAGTGCTGCCCCCGGAAGTGTTCCACCTGTAAGCACCTCAGCTGTATGAGCCACCCTTGACGCGGCCTGGTAAGTATCTCGCACCGTCTGTCCTTTCATCTGTTCTGATCCATTGTAGGCCCAGGAAATGTGATATGGCGTATTTCTAGCGTTGTACTTCTCTGCCTATGTCACCGTCTATTTCTGTTTTTATATGTACTGGTGTGTGTTCGTTGTCCTCTGTTGTGCACTAAAATGGTATCATGCGTGTTCAATCTACCGCGCTCCAATTTATCTAAGGCATTGTATCTGCAGCAACCCAATTTCGCCGTCGAAGTGCCGGAGCGCCCCGCACGATGGCATGTCTTGCCGTACATATCACCACGTGACGTCACCTGTCTCACTCACTCCTACGTTAAAACCATCGGGGGGAGGGCGCTTATTTAGCAGGGCCTTGAACGCCGCAACTGCCATAACATGGAGCCGACTGTTTGCTGCCCGCTGTTTCATGGCGTAAGAGCGATGACCGACCTGCTTCCCGTGCGGCGTCTCTGCTAACAGCTCCCACTTGGCGGCGGCGTGTTTGAAGGAAGCAGGGACCCATTCCATCTCATGACGCAACAGAATAATCTCCTCCTGCGCCCTGTCGACGATGCATTTTGCCATCAACCACTGCGATTGCGCTACTGCAAATAATTCAATGGTGTAATTGAAATGACCATTTATTCACTCACTCGCATTAATGAGTTGACTCCGGTCCTTCCCCGCTAGGGCCTCGTCTATATCAATGGTCCATATCCATGACAGAGACCTGTGTCGCATTCCTCGAGCATCTGGAATCAGTTGTTCAGTCTGGGCTTGTAGATCTACTCGCGTCATCTTCTGATACTGGCTGATCTCTGCAGGATCCTTTGCCAAAGAATACATAGCGGCGCGAGCTCGATTATAGTAGAGACGTTGAAGGTTGATCTTTGTGCTGAGGACATGGAACCTGTCCCAGACTGCACCCTCTTGGCGTTGGCTGCCGCGTACTTCTCGGAGCGCTTTACGTGCAAGGACCGATTTTTTTCCGATATGGTCCCGAATGTGTTGAAGGGCGTCATGGGCCTGGCCTTTACGCAGCTGCATCTCGACGTCGACAACACGTGACAGCCCCAAGGCCATACAGCGCTTATAACCGAATGCTGACGGCAAGCCTATGGTGACGTTCTCCGGTTCAGCGGTATCATCGAGGTCGGCATGCATGACGTCATCATCGTCAGCTTGAACATCGCCCAAAGGAGTTGGGTGGGCATCTTTTGCGCTATGCGGGTCGTCAACATCCTCCTCAAGGACCTCGACGTTTTCATTGGGGTCAATCTCGGCTGCAAGCACGATGTCTTGGTCCTCTCGGATAACGGCGCCTTGGCTGAGAACCAAACCTCCCATGTACTTGATGGCGTCGTCTTCAAACTCCTGGATTTTCAGACTAAGCTTTCTCTGCTCCTTTTGGATAGTCAACAAGTCTGCACGTCGGCGGTGTTGCTGATATCGTCTAACGAGCATCTGGACCCGAATTCTAGAACGAGTCAGAACCATCCCACGCAGGAGTATTTTTGGCTCTTACTGTGCTTCCTCTATGTCCATCCCCAAGTTCGCCCACCGCACCATGTCGCGGTCCTCGCGCTTTGCTCCATGCTTCTGGGTGATCTCATGACCTTTCTCAGCGCGGGAGGGGAGTTTCCCCACTTTGACATTGAAAACCTCATCCTTCACTTTGGCATTGCCAGGGGCGGCGTAAGCCTTGTTGAGTAGCTGTTGCCACCCTGCAATAAGAGCATCTTCACAGACATTTTCAAGCTTCCTGAGGTCTTCTTGGGCTTTGTGATACCGCGCTATGGCCTTGCCCCATTGCTGAGAAATGTATTTCACTAGAAGCGGCGTAAGTCAAATATGCTGAAGGGTTCCCATCACGTACCAATCCCGTGCTTCTTTTTGTCGTTATGCCAGCCCATGTGCAAATTTAGAAATTGCCTGCGACCGCCCGGAGCCATGTACCTGGTGCTGTGCGCAAGGTCATTGAGCCCGGGCCACACCGTTTCAATCCCCTCTCCGGAGACCCAACCTAGTCCTTTGATGAAAGTTGGGGAATATCGTGCGACGCAACTTTCCCGGTGTCCATGCACATGAAATAGCCCAATGGATGGAATGATCTTCAGACCCGCAGGTAACGAGAGAAGAGGGTGGTCACGGACACGCGTCAAGAAATTGACCATGTACTGACACGCAATATCGTAGAAGAGGACAAGCCGAAGCACTAGCATCATCCAGATTGCGTTTACGATGACGTAGTCAATATTAATTTGCCTTCATAAATCAATGTCAGACGGCGCCTAACGGATTTACTGCGGACTGAAGTCGGACTAACCTTTCTCCAAATTGTAGATCAGCGGTTGCATTCGGTACGAAGCATGCATGCCGCGCACATGCAACAGCCGCAATACCAGTGACCTGGACATGGCTACGCCGCTTGTTGGTGAGAAGTACCGCGCGGTGGTCATTACATGTTGATCTCTGTCCTTTAATGAGCTCACATTACATTCTATACATATCTGCGTACCTGTTTTTTTTCCTTTGAGACTGACAGATACTTCTGGTAATCGTCCTCGTTGACAGTGTAGGCAAGACCATCTCCCAAGCAAATGTCATTTTCAGGACGTCGCATGCGGTAATTTTGTTGCTTGAAGTTGCCATCGACCATGAGCTGGCGAGCGTGTAACCATTCTGGACTATCGTGTTAACGTCAACTATGTGTAGCTGAAATCTATCGTTGTCATCACTCACGCATTCATTGTTTCCCAATTTTCAGCTAGGTTTACCCCTGGCTGAGGGCATGCCGCACAAAATTCCGCCATTGACCCTGCAGCATTCTCCTGGTCGGGCTGGCCATATCCGTGCCCATGTGACTTCCGGGACATCAAATGCATCCACTGACGTGCACAACGTTGGAACTCGCGATATCAATCCTGCAGCATAATTAAGTTTAACTAACACGGGAAATCAAAAAAAGACTCCGCACGGGGACCAAAGCGGGAAATGCTGAATTGGTCGCATGAACGAGGCGAGAAAAGTACGCATTCGCTGGTACTTTGTTCTCCAGGTTGCTAAGGGTAAAATCCTCGAGAACATCAAAGGTGAAAACTGTCTGAGGGACATTGTAAGACGCAGGGTATAAACGCATGTCGAGCAGTTGTCGATGGAAAGGATAGTCGGGCTGGCATTCGCACCATACCACTGTGAATTCGTAGATCGATGTTACATCCACCACCGTGATTCTTGACTCCTTTGGCGCTTTCTGCTTTCCTTCGTCAGTGTCAGAATCAGGTGGGGGAAGATGACTGAATGATTGCCCCAGACCGCATTCGAGAGCAACTCTATCTGCGTCGGAGATGTCGCCGAGGTCTTGTTCTACCCAACTCTCATCATCTGCGGATGTCGCCAGGCTCTGGCACATCGCGCCGTCATGGCCCATGTGAAGATGAACCCCAAGGCTATCCGTAGTGACTCGGCGCCAATGACTCCCCTCCCAGCTCTCCACATTGTGAAACGGAAGCTGCTTGTGAGTGTTGCGCATGCAGTCAGTGCAACCTTCCGGAGTCCCGAAACACGAAAGACATCGCCATCCCGCAGGAGAGGCGTGGCAATGTGGGCAAGTTTCATTACGGCGGCGCTCCATCTCAAGCAAGGCATGAAGCTGTCCTTCCTCGTATTGCCGCCATATCCTCAAGTAATCAATTTGCAGCTATAGAGTAGTCAATTCAGATCAATGCGTGGGTTTGCTCCAAAACGAACATACCCAACGTTTTGTTCTGCGGCGTCCCGAGGGAGCTGGCTCAGGAGAGAGGAACTTGGGCAGTCTTGGTGGAGACTTTGTGCGTGGTTTCTTGGCTTTCCGAGGACTGTTCGGTGGCCTGCTCATATCAACCTGGCGTTTTCTAGATTTCTCAATCCGCTTGCCCCCCCGTTGACTCGTTTCCGTCTGGTGCATGAGGAGAGATTTTGGATTAGGGACATGACCAGCTTTGATGCGCGCCATGTTGGCAGCAAAGCAAAGGCAGCAGGAGATGTTATCGGGTGAAGTTGAACCTAGGTTGTCCAATGATAGTAAAAGGATATTTGGCCCTCGTTCTTTATCACGATCTTATCGCAAACGCCCACGCAATTGGTTCTGTTGCCACAGGGAGTCCAGACCCTACCCATCGGACATTTTAACACCTACTGATCAAGATGACACACGCTGATGCAAGCTTGAGCCAGCAGCTATAAGTAGGTGTCCCCTTGTTTACAAAATGATTACTAGCGTTTATTCGAACATACTGCGAGCTCAATGTAGACCTGGTGATCCTCCAGGAATTCTGGTCAGTTATTACCGAGACCTGTGACGGGGAAGGGTTGATCAGCCCTTGATTTCATGGAGTCTTCACCTCGGTCTGGACATGCCGCCATGCCTTTGCTATCACGCTCGTTAAGTCGGGCGCGTTTGCATTGACGGTGCCGTCGCTCGGATGAATTACTCATCTCAGTAATTCACTCACTTCGTTTTCATGTAGCCAATTCTTTCCCTGACGGTTTTCTATGCGGTGTATCTCACCAGTGTCATAGCTAACAAGGTGAATCTGCATGATTTGAAAGAATTGACTAAACAAGTGATCCATCCACCCGCGGAGACGACCGATGCAATGGCTGACAAGTTGTATTCAAATTTGCTGCTCCGATTAAGATCTGGGGTTATCACAGCGCAATGACTAGAATGAGCGGGTACCGTGTCAGGGTCTGTAGAAGCAGGTAGTCGCCGAATGGAGCCGCTGGTGGAATATTGCTCCCAGAAAATAGCCCGATCCGCATTCCACTCAGGGAATGGCGCCCCAAAAACTTGTTCAACCATCCCTGTGTCGGCATTGACGGCGGGGACGAGTTGACAAATTGACATGCAATGGCGGAACGGATGCCGCACATTCCCACGGTCTCGCCTGCATGTCCCTGAGACTGCGGACTGTTTCTGCGGTTCATGACAAGACGCGTGCCCTGCAAATGTGTCGTTCGGGCAGGGTTGACGGACCCGGATGTTGTAACCAAAGCTGCCACCCGGGCAAAAGTGACCGAGTCGGATGTCGGCACAGCCGCTTACCAAAACGCCGCCTAGTGAAAGGCGCCCAACTTTGCATCCGAGAGCGATGGCGCCGTATATAGATGCCGCATCGGCTACTTCATCACGGCTACTCCGGTCAAACTACCCGATGACTTTACAACAAAGATTACCACTTGCCACTATTGATTGTCCCATGTATGTACCTAACTACTTTGTAACTGTATCCGCTAACTGCACTGTTTTCCTCAGTCTTATTTGTGCTATGGACGCCCAAGGTATTGACACATCTCGCGCACCATCTTGTGAAGCTCATGCAGCTGGAACATACTCTGAGCGACAATACTTCACCTCTTGCTGGAGTACATGTCATTGCAAATCACCTTGAAGCGATCATGAAGGCTGGGAATACCTTCTATCAGTTCAATTACAATGAGATACTACTGACACAAAGGACCTAATGCTAATATGACACTTGCTTGTTTAGTTATACTATGGTAGAGAAGAAGAACAGAAAGCAAATGCACACCATCAACACTCTGAGGTATGAAACAACGGGGTATAACGTCGAGTTGTCCGATAGATACAAATGTGCGGTGTTTACAGCATCGCCTTCAATATCCAGTCCATATTAACAATGAGGGAGAGGATGGATGTGAAATGGAGGAGAGGAGAGGAAAGAAACAAGTAATTTATCATGCGGGCGGTACGGCAAACGCGAACATTTTTGACTTGTCGATCAACACCTGATGCTGCCGGTCCCGGACCGGCGTTCCATCGTGCTTTGACGCGGTCAATGACTCCGCCGATACAATCTGCGCCGTGTGGTCCTCAACACCGTGTGGCATGTTTGGAGATATTGTCAAAGTGGGGGACGATGATGTCAAGTACAAAGGGGAGGGCGTCTCCGGGGTGTCTGGAGGCAAATACGAGGGAGCAGGCAGGTGTGCAAGAGGGGCTGGCAGCGTTGGTAATGTGCGGACCAGCTTTGGAGGCGAGGGATAGCACTGAGGGGCATAAGGGGAGGGAGATAGTGTCAATGAGCTTGGCAATGTGGGCCCAGGTGTGGGCGTCAACAAGGGGATGCCAGCGGATGAGGAAAGTTGGACGAAAAGGATGTGAAAAAGCGCTGGAAAAGAAGCGGGAAAATAGTGAGCGACGTGCAAATGACAAAGTCTATAAAACGGGAGCGGTGGTGTGGGCAAAGAAGGAAAGTCTGAAAACAGAAAGGACCATGAGACGGGAGAAGAGGGATGGACGACACGCCGTCGATTATATCCGACCGCATGCGGCGTCCTCAGATCAACGCACATCAGAAAAACCCCGTCAGGGCCTAGAACGGAGTTGTAGGGAAATTCTGGGAACCAAGGAATTAGGCATGAACGTACCGATGGGGGCGTATGGAACCCTTGACTCGACTGGGAGACCGAGACGTTGTGCGCGGCGCGGAAGGGGGAGGGGTGCTGTGCAATCGAGGGACCCATTACAGCAGCCATGATGAATCCAGAGGATGAAGGAGACGGGACGAGGAAAGTTGGACAAAAAGGATGCAAATGAGTAAATAATGATTCTGGCGGCGTGATCAAAGACGCCGCCAAGAGGCTGCACCTGAAGCCACCTGGAGTCCCGGACACTCCCCCTGAAGATGATGACCGTTCTGCAGAGCCATGATGATACCAGAGGATGAGGGAAACGGGACGAGGAAAGTTGGACGAAAAGGATGCGAAAAAGCGATGGAAAAGAAGGGAGTGGAGAAAGGTTCCGTATCAAGGGCCTAGAATTAATGGTCAGTTCCGCTAGGCGAGCGCTGAATTCACGCCAGAATGAATGGGAGTCAACATGATAGTAAGGCAGATGCGGGGGAGGATGTTGCTGATATTGGCGGTGCAATGTGCCTGGTCGACAATATTAAGGGCCAGTATACGACGCTTGATACGAGTTCTGATATACGGACATCGCCAGAGACTTATGCCAAATTGCAAGTCGTGTTTTGTCGGGCAGGTTCTCACCGAGAAATCACTCAATCCACCCTTAGAAACGGACAGGGCTGAATGCTCGAGCTTGGCAGCTATAGACAATGAAGGCGTACCAACCAGGTCGGGAAAGGGCTGAGAAAAAGCGCTGAAAAAGAAGAGGGAAAATAATGAGCAACATGCAAATGACAAGGACTATAAAACGGGAGCTGTATGGTGTGGGTAAACGCCTTATAGTCCTTGTCATTTGCATG